ATGGAATACACTTTGTATCAAATTTGTGTAGAATCTAGAGCCATGTCGTCTTTCCATACATCTTTATCTTTACAATTTTATAACATGACTTTCCAATCAAAATGTTTTTGATGTAATTTTTAAAACGTAAGAAATGATAATCTTAGCATATATTCCGGAATCTTATTGTAAAAACGTATACAGTTTCCCGTAAAACAGTTGTTTACCTTACTTAAACCAAATCGTGGTATCATGAGTTTTGACTTAGCTCTAAGATTAATATAATGGATATATTATTTCTTATTGAAATTATGTATATTTTTACGGGAATACAAAATATTTGAGTAAATGTACTGTGATGCCACAGTCATGATATCAGTCACCTTAAACTTTTCTCTGAGAAATACCCAAGAACCTACTACCACTATAATCATCAATAAGAACGAATAAATTGTTTTAAAACTTTATTTGTTTAATTAATTGCACCATGGATAGTGTAAAGAAATGTAAGTATCTCATACAAACATGGACCCTGTTGCAATCTATAAGTAAAGTAGGTACCTATACATTGACTTCTTTATTATCATATAATAAAAATACAACGAAACATCTATTAGCTTTTCTTAGAAAAAAATACTAAATATAGTATATTATATTCTATTAGAAGTTAGTGACAGAACATTTATTTTCTTATAGTTCTCTCTCGCGCATGAATACTTCTATTGTGTAGTAACTTTTAGAGGCCAGTGATACATTATATTTGATTTTAAATGTTGAATATTTGTCATCAGTTTTTAATATTTCTGGTATTTTTTAATATACTAGTACAGTCCGATAGTAGGCTATTTCTATACATCTCTAAATTGGGTGTAGGGAGGGATAATTTGTATTTATATATGAAAGGGTGCTTTTTTCGTACATTGCAGTTTTTTATATTATACTAAGTGATGGGAAGAACAAGTCGTGCGCCTGATGGTAAGTGACACGCCAGTCCTTAGTGCACAATAAAGAATCATACATTTCATCAAGTTTACACGATCTCTACGGAACATTAATTGAGTAATATAATAAGGATGAATGTCTTTATAATAGTTGTAGTTTGCAAGGGCAACAAATTAATTCAAATTTAGAATTTTAAAATAAAATGTTAAATAAAATATTTTATTCGTTCATTTTAAAGGGTATACAGAGCTGGAAGCTTCAGGGTTCAGCCCAGTCCCACATAACCCCGGCCCTGCCCCCGCTGTAAGCAGATTCCCCCGGATTAACAAAAGGAAACATCGCTCTTCTATAATATTAATCGTAATCTTGCTCTTATATAACTTTAAAATGATGAAACATAATACCTTCTCTACTAAAACTAATCTACTATAACTGGTGTTACAACTCATACAAATTTCACTAATTACAGTATTTTTTTAACTTTTCAGACTAAAAAATAGATTAACCTAATTATTAGTGTGTGTGAGTGCAAGTATGTGTATATGCATCTGTAGGTGTGTAATTGTGTGGAATGTGTGAATGTGCACATGTGTGTCATCCGAATATATATCCGAAATTATACCTTGTCATACCATGTTAGATAGTATCATTTCAATTGCTTCAATTTTCAAACAAATCAATTAAGAAAATGCATTGTTTTCGCTCAATAGAGGTTAAAATGCTTTTTATTCGATGTATTTCTAGTATAACTAAATTCAGTTACTGGTTTGTCGCATGCTGACTCAGAATAGTTAACCTTTGCTATTATTATCTTTTACTCATTGATATAAAAGCGAGGGCGTAAGATAAGTGTGTTTTAAAGTCAACAACGCTTTAAATATTTTAAACGTTTTACATTGTAGGTAACGAACATGGAAGCGACAACACGTCTCGTATCGTTTACACTATCTTTTTTGCAACATGGTTCAACAGATTGTTTGACAAGAAACTAAAATTAAAAGTTCATGTATGCTGATACACAACGATCACTATCGGGAATCAATTCCTCATCTACCGCCGAAAAAACGAACTGAAAAACGAGCTGGATCGAGCGGTGGTCAATAAAATAAACTCAAATACATATAACGAAATGAACGAACAATAACCACTTTATACAGTTTTCTGTTATTATGGCGGAACAGGTGAATTTACACCGAGTTTAAAAAATGTAAACAAACGTAGAGAAACTAAACCGAGTATACCACGATGCGCACCTGCTCTCTTCAAGGCCAAATTAAAAACCAAAACGACAACAACGCCACGCAGCCGCGCCGACGAGTTTTTCAGAACGGGTCTGTTCTAATGTTCATATTTCATACTATAAACGTATAGAAATGTACCCTAGTTTATATTAAAATACTTAATAAACTAAAAAATAGCTTATTAAAAGTTTGTAATAGTCCTCAGCTAAGTATTTACTACTGTGCATAGGTGTGTATAATAGTGTTCTTATGACAAAAATATATCTTAAAAAAAATTATTTATAAAAAATGGTTGCCTATCAGTAGTCCGAAATAACATTTTCTAGAAATAGCGTTTGGTCGAAATTTCATAACCTCGAAAGTAATTTTGAGAGGAAAATGTTTTTTCTTTTAAACCTTTTTTTTAAAAACTAACTTAACCTAACCTAACCACACCTAAACGTGACTATGCGATAAACATTCAACATATCCTGAAAGAACAACTGTTTCGTTATAACGAAACATGAAATTCGGTTTTCGGTGTAATGAAAATTCGAACAAACGTTTTTTCGGACAAAAAATTTTCGAGTTTGTGATAGGTTACAAAAAAGGAATTTCGTTAGAAGATTTTTCTGTTTATTATATCCAATATTTTATTGAAAAATGTACTATTTCGTAATTTTCGGACACTTACCCTATACAATGCACTTATTCGTATGACAATGGCGAATAATTAAAAAAACAACTCCAAGTCTTACACACTATGGTGAGAAGGTACTAAGATTTTTATGCCGAGTTACTCAAGGTTTTAACGAATGGTAAGTACCTTCATTGTAATGACGATTTGCATATAAAAAAACCGTGTAATCGTACGTTAATTATAATTCTCTGAAGGATAACATTGTCAAGAATTTTAATTAACTTTTAAAATGGGAGATTTACAATACTCAGGCTTAAAAATACTGCTGTGTTTTATTATTCATTATAGGAGGAGATCATCATCATTTTAGCCGATAGACGTTTACTTCTGGTCACAGAACTCTTCCACAGATCGCCACAACAACCGGTTTAACGTTGTTCGTTTCCAGTGGGTTCCCACAACCTTCACATCGTCGTCGGTCCGCTTTGTGGGTGGTCTACCCACGCTACGTCTTCCGGTACGCGGTCGCCATACCAGAACCCCACCGTTAAGGATGTTGAAAGGTTTTAAGTAAACTTACACTTTTTGTGCTGCACTTTTATGACGATGTAATTTGAAAAATAGTGTTATTTATATGAGTATATAATATATCATATATATGTTATTCAGCCAGGCATTAGTAGATAGGCCGCACCAAAAGACGTCCATCAAAATTCTTTGTTGAAAATTGTACCCTACGTCAAAACGCGTAACAGTTTAAAAAGTGTCTATTTGTATAACTCAATATGAGGCCAAGTGTACAACGTGCAAATCCAGTTGTATTATTATTTGTTACAAATTTTACTTATCACCATTGAACTTTTATAACCATGATGTAAATAGTAATATAACGCGCACACATACACTTTAACATTAATGTGAAAAAATACTAATCCGTCACGCATGCTAGAGACATGCGGTGTCTCTAACGGTTTTAGTAATGTAGCGTCCTAGAGTCACACGGTCTATCAAACACGCAGTTGTGTTTTCAATACAAGATTTTGTAAAAAAATAAATTTATTAAAAAAATTATTTACTAGCAGTAGAGCTCTTCTTCTTCTCCTTCTTCTTAGAGAAGTACTGCCATCTTACCTATTTCTGCCGCCAAGCAGTAATGTGAGCATTACTGCGTTCCGGTTTGGAAGGATAAGGGTGCTGGTGAAATTACAGTCACATAGTCAACTTAGGTCTCAAGGAGACGGGCACAGTGGCAGTGTCCCTAAGATCTTTGCGATTTAAAGCTCTGAGTGGCACTGCAACTGTTTTGGATAGGCGTGTCGCTTACCACCATGCGTGCGACTTGCTTTATTAAAAAATATATTAAAATCTATCAAACATTTTAATTTGTTTTTACCGAAATTGACTGGTTTAGTACTTCATTTGAACATAACTAGGTATTTAGGAATTACAAACGTAGAAACTTATTTCGTGTATTGAGAACAACCGTCAATAAGCTTAACCATTTTCTTCAAAAGTTAAGTCGATATTCCAAGAAATGAGGACACTTTTAAGATAACAATAAAATTAAAGTAAATAAAATCAAAATCCCACAAAAACGTGTTGAGTACAAAACATTATAAATAGATTTTGTTTACCTCCATAGGTATATAATGTACGGACGGCAGTCCCCTTTCCATTAGGTTTAAATTCAATTCTAAGCCATTTAGATGATCCAAAATACCAAGCATTAAAGCCCAGCGTGCTGCTGACTGTCCTTACCTAACTGCTTTATGATATTTTTATAGTCTATTGTTGATGTTAAGATAATTTTAACCTGACCTGGGCAATAAAACGCAGCCCATTTAACCGAACGACTCAACGACAACAAAGGAAGTAAAATTAGAAAACCAACGGCTTTAGCGTGCTTGGTTCACGCTACAAAGCAACTTTAATTTTAAAACACGGGGCTGTTGGTGTTGAATGAAAATGCAATTACTCGTATTTTACTATGGCTTTTAGTTTAATCATAACAACGCTGTTTTAAGAAAACACCTGTTCATGGACCTTTCTAAAACTTTGAATGTTCAATAGTAAATATCCAATGTCAGTCAAAAACGAATTTGTTTACCAATGTAATGTTCACATGTTTATAAACCAATACTAGACATAATGAAACTCTATATTTCAATTTAAAAGCATTCCATTGGAATTCTATCCCTTAATTTAAAATTCTAACTCACCAATTCCACGAATTTGATGATGGAAAGTCTGTCGATGGCCATTTTGATCACTTGAAATGGAACACCGGTTGTTTGTATACACGGGAGCGACCGCGTGGAGGGAGTGTGCAAGAGAGACTGAGCGAACGAGCCTTTGCCTTCCTGAATGAGTAAAATGACATCATAGCCCACTAGTGTACCCACCGTTAAACGATAAGAACGGATATTTCAAAGTAAATGTTCTTTGAAAAGGTAAATATCATAAATAGGAATTAAGATATAAAATGTAGAGTTTATCCATAGTGTTCCTTATGTCAGCATTATATGGTATGGCGAAAACTTGACGAATAGATTCTAATGTTTATGTTAGTGAAAATCTAAGAATTTTGGTGTAAACCAACTATAGCACGTATTTTAAACATTTCAAAGTAATTATAGAAGCTATTTATAATTTTTATTAAGTTAATTGTAATTGAATATATTAATATCCCACAATTTTACTTGAAATTTCTGATACGTACATAAAAAATATAATAAAATACAGTACACTGTTCCTATATGTGTAAATACAAGACACCTACATAAGAAGGAAGAAATTGGGGCGATGTTATGACATCATCACTGAACTTAAGGGCTGGTTCACATGACAAGTGTTAGCGCGTCTGACGCGCGTTTTGATAACGTGTGCTTACAACCAAACGAATTTCTGGGAGTCACAATATCGACACGGAATTGCATTAAGCCGGGCAGAAAATGCTTTATGTTTATATATTAAGAGCAAAAAATACGTGGTGTGTTTCGGCGCTTCGAGCGAAAGCGAAACGCGTATTTTTCGTTGTTATTGCACGGATGTACATTTATAACTTTTTTCTGATCGCCTCTAGCCGATTCCGCATTCATAAGTGTGGTGAGTCCCTTACCGCCAGCGCAAACCGACAGACGACGGGGAAAGGGATCGAAAAGGATCTTATACCTGCCTGCCTGCTTACGGTATCGCGAGGGCCCGACAGCGTACCGCAGCGTTCGTTCCCTCTCGTTTTGTTGTGACCCCGGAGCATTCAAGCAGACTCCGGCGCATAACCGCCGTGGTATCCTTTAGTGTGCTCTTCAATTCAATACCTCAGAGAGAAATGCACTACGATACTCTGATAATTTATAGATAATAAATTTAATACCTTCTCGTCAGCCGGTTTATACTGGCCCTAATTCGTAAGTTTTCATACATGTTCACACGCTGAAGCCAACACGCGTCTGACGCTAGTCATCTAAACTGAGCCTTATCGATCACAGTGCAAAACTCAGACGACTGCGGAAGTAAACACTTTGACGACCTCGGCAACACAGTGGCTCTAGCAATGTGGGCTTTAAATCAAGAGCTCCCGAGCTCAACTCCCTGTAAGACTAATTTGGGAAACGATTTTTTCTATACAGGGCCAGTTAAGTTCGTTGGTCTGGAATTCGTCGTACAGGGATTTTCTTGATTTGTCAAGTAATTATAAACTTTAAATATTTTGTTCTTACCGAAACCAATTGAACTTCATTATACCGACACACGCAGTACATTATAAATACAATAAACCTTCATATTCCTTAGACACGACATAATATTATATTATTTTAAGGCCATCTTTATGATATTACCACAATCAACATTCAATTTCATTGTCTCAAGAAATTTTAATTGTACACTATATGTCTCAAAAAAATTGTATACAAAATAGCAATACCCTACATGTTATTGTTAAGGAAGTGTTAATTAAACCAAAGTATATTATGAAATACAAATGAATGACATGTTACTGTAAACAAAATAGGACAACAATATTTGCATTGATTCCCTCATCGATTGTGATGTTCTTAGAAAGAGAGTTCCATTTAGTAATTGTTTAATGAAGTTGATTTACAGTGCGTTTTTTTTGTTACATTTCTTACTATGTACTTCACCAAATTGTTTTTATTCATTACACTCATGGACGTTGTCTAATATTGTCTAGCCTTCTCAAGTGTTGTCATGTAAAGAGGTTATCAAATGTGCCATTTTGTTTACACAATAAAGCGCTCGTGCATGAAGTTTTTGGTTTTATAATAATCTTCATCGAAGCGGAAAACCACTATTCCATCTATTTAAACAGTATACTGTCTTACAATAGACTCACGTCTATAGCTACTTCTATAAGGATTGTGATTCGGTATACTTCTATTTTAGGCAACGATCACTGGATAGTGAAAACAGCTGCGAGACCAAGTTATTCCTGGTTTTAAGGGGCGCCTTCAAATTAGACGCTTGTCTGTAGCGTTCTAGTAATTTTTAGTTCACAAATTGTAACTGCAAAAGTGGCGTTGCAACTATGCTTCCAAATATTGTATGAAAATTAGTAGCGGTGCGGCACAGTGGCGCCACTGTGGCGCTTCTTTAAGCGTCTAACTTTAAGGCGCCCTTGGTTCACTTTTGTATGTATCTTCACAATTTTAATTTTAAGAACAAGTTTCTAGATACATATACTTCACAAGTTTCTACGCCATCCTTATAAATAGATACTCCATTAAACAATACGTTTACTCATCCGTTTATGACTTCAATAATTACGGGGTCAGCTACGAATACAGAATAGGTACTAAAGGCCATACAATAAGTAAATCTCGACGGGCATTACAAATTTAAACTCAATATTAACGAAGTAGGGTTCAATGTTGAATGGAGGAACTACAGTTTATGTTGTCGAGGACTGCTCATATAATTTATTATTTCGATGTTTTTAAATAATATACTTACTAGCAAGTGAATTTCAATGATAATGATAGTCAGCGAATAGTTTTTTTTTATCTGTATTATTAATATTTAGTACACAATGTAACAAAAACGTACATAATTACTACTAAGGTAAATTTTTGGTTTTCAGTATTATGGAGACAATGAATACTAAAAATAATCTATAGTTTAAATAACTTGCAACACACAATGTAAAAGAATACAAATACAATAATAAAAAGCAGCCACGTTGAGGCAAAAGACACTGGTTCAAGTCCAGTCGGGTCGAAGGCATTTTTCTTTGTGTTTGTTCTATTTTTGTAATAATAATAGGTAATAATAATAACCTAGTGGAGTATTTTCACAAATAATATGTGAAAATCATAGTTATAAAACATCATGGTGTTCATTAAAAATACATATTTGAAGTAATTTGAATTAAATGTATGTTTAAAATGTTTTAAGTGTGGATATTCTATTATTTAATAAATAATGTAACAGTAACCTTTATTTATTGAATAAATACTACATATACTGTTCGTATTATATATATTTGCTCCACTAGAAAAATTCCTTCGATCTGACGGCAGATTTGAAGATTTGCTGGGCAACAGACCGAGCAGCACACGTGACGAATTTCTCTAAGCGTTTGCTACAAATCTTTGTATTTCATTTAAATGGTTTTTTGTCGTCAGCGCCACCTGTGATCAGCGAGCTAACTGTATTCGTTTAGAAAAATAATTATAACTTTTTATTAAAAAAAAATCGTCGGAAGTTTGCTTAACTGAAACGCATATGGAAGTCCTAGTCAAAACGACTCGTGTGAGCCCAAACAAGAGCTCACTGCTGTACACTGTTGAGGAATTCCTCTCATCTATCTGCCATTTCAACTGCCTCTGTGGCCGAAAGGTTATTGTACTGGACTGCCACGCAGAGGTCCCGGGTGCGATTCCCGGGCCGACCAAAATATTTATTTAACAATAATAATAAAAATAATAAAGCCTTACCTAAATTCCAACAAACATATTTCTAATAAAATAAATTACAATTGTGTATAATAAAATAACAATAAATTTTAAATTATAATTATATTATTGTTATAAAAGTTATATTATATTTATATTCTTGAAAGTGAATTAATTATAAGATTATGTGAAAATTATAAGATTAAGGATTAATTTTTTTTTCTTGTAGCCGAAGGAGGTCAAAACAAACACTACAGTTCACGTTTTTTTAAGTATTTATATGACCTACATTTATTTCTCTCGAGAGTTTGAGAGAAATTTGTGGTTGTCTATGTGTGTGTCCATGATACCCGAGACACAGGGTTTCCCTAGTGCGGGGCTATGTTGAGTGTGTGCGTTATTATTACAATATTATTTCCATCATCCGATCAGCTCTACGTCACCTTAAATTTTGTTTTAATTGAAATTACATCCATATGCCAAATTTGTGAGTGAAATTCAATAAGCCGGACAGGCGGAATATTTTCTTCAAATTTGAATAAGATCACTACTGAAGTGGGATACCTCAGTAGTGGTCTTGCAACAAAAAAGATTTATTTTTATGCAAAAATAAGTGCACATTTAATTTTGTCCTCCATCTCACCTGATGGAAAATAACTGTGCATCATGCACACCTAAATAATGCCCATTCACTCTCGCCTTGAAAAGGTCCAAGTTATAGCGTTAGGGAAATACGTCCGCAGGTAGAGAATTCCACTCCCTGGCCGCTCGCCGTTTAAACGAGGAAGCGAAACGACTGGTACTAATCCAGGAAATATCAACAACATAGAATCATTGAATTCTATTCAAAATGTCGAAGTGATCGCGTAACACACACACAATAAAATTAAGTCGGTGGTAATAAAAGTGAAAATGTAGAGATTCACTCTACCCTCCATTGACTCTTAATACCTAGTTAAAACAATTTAATTAATTGCAAAACCTTCCATGAATGAAAATATTGAATGCCTGGTTGAAGGATATCAACAATAATATTAATTATATAGCAAATTCCATATGGTATGTTGATAGCTTCATGACATCATTAATTACGCAGAAATTGTGTGTCACACCACGTCGAACAAACTGCGTAAACACGTCACGCTTAAAAATAGTCTAACAAATGTCGTACTTTATGTAAAACGGGGGCCGAATTTGATGGCAAGGTAACATTGGCCATTTATTTGAGGTCACGTAGTAGAGGCCTCATTTTTAAAAGCCTACCTCTTGTTGTTTTTGTATTATATAAAATATGCTTGAAAAATTTATTTAATATGTAACACAGGCAGGTTTTAGTTTATTCAGTGAATTAGTCATGTAATTGACGCATATTTAGAGTTTAGAATACCTATATACCTTTGATATAACAAAGCCACATGTGACGATACGTCAAAA